AGCGCCACCTGCTGATCAGTTTGTGAATCCCGCCTCATCATTTTAAACCAAATATGGGAACTTCCTACCTTAGACCTAGAACAGAGCTCTCCAAACTTGGCAACTTTAAGACTTGTGGACTTCAACTTCTGGGAGTTGAAGCCCACAAGTCTTAAAGTTGCCAAGCTTGGGGACCCCTGACCTATACTGTTAGTATGTATGTATGTATATATGTGTGTGTGTGTGTGTGTGTGTGTGTGTGTGTGTGTGTGTGTGTGTGTGTGTGTGTCTTTTTTTTAACTTCTCGTTGACTGCCTTGAGAAGCCCCTGAAGTTTTCTGGACAAGTTATTTTTTTTCTTCCAGAATTGTTAGCCATTGCCTGCTTTGTAGGGCTGAGAGAGAGGGACTGGCTCAGTGTGTATGTGTGTGTGTGTGTGTGCGCATTACTAGCATAGGATTAAATCCCACAATAGACATCAAATGAGCAGAAAATAATTTAAATATAAATTGGTCTTAGGACCCATAGCCTGTCTCCAAGGAACACAAAACCCACATAAAATGGGTTTTCCCCCAACATCCTAGTTCTATCCTGGTTCTCTAACATCTGCAGGAAGTAATCAGGATCCGGATTGTAGGAAATTCTGGGAGGGGAGGGGAGGGGATGCTATTCCAGAGGAAAGATGACTTTGGGAATAATGGGAATAAGTGTAACAATGCCTCAAAGATGATTAGAATATTAATTTAGCATGTGGCATAGAGTACATGGATAACAGTAGTAAAATATATATAAAAGGAGCACATAATGCAATGATACATGTATGATGGAATACGTAGTCAATTTTGTAAGGTACGAGGAATTCAAGAAGCTATATATAAGTTATAGTTTACATTTTGAAACATATTAGTTAATGAGAATGGAATAAGTGTTCTGTATATTAATATCTAGGCCATTGATCCAATTAGGCATTGTATTTTATTAGTTGGAGAAAATCTTCTTTTCATCCTGTATAGGCTCTCAAGTGGCAGCTAGTCCAGTGGTGGGATTCAAAAATTTTTACTACCAGTTCTGTGGGTGTGGTTTGGTATCAGGGAAGGATACTGTAAAATCTTCAGTCAGAGGTGGTATTTGCCGGTTCTCCGAACTACTGAAAATTTCCACTACCGGTTCTCCAGAATTGGTCAGAACCTGCTGAATACTACCACTGGTCTAGTCACTATAAGATCCAGTGTCTGATGAGGAGCATCACATGATTAGATAAGAAATCACTACCGGAGAAGTGATCTTTACTGGAGATGAGGACTACTGACCCCCAGGCCTCCCAGTCCAGCCCTACTATGTCACCAGAACAAAACAGGTAAAACCTGGCTCAAAAACAATAACTGTGAAAGGGATCTTGGAGTCCTAGTGGATGATCCTTTAAACATGAGCCAGCAATGTGTGGCAACAACCACAAAAGCTAATACAATCCTTGGTTGTATAAACAGGCATAGAATTAAAGTCACATGAAATATTAGTACTGCTTTGTAAAGCCTTAGTAAGGCCACACCTGGAATACTGCATCCAGTTTTGGTTATCACATTACAAAAAAGATGCTGAAACTTTGGGAAAAGTGCAGAGAAGAGCAGCTAACATGATTAAAGGCCTGGAGACAAAAAACGTGAAGAATGGTTGGAGGATTTGGGTTGCAAGCACATTGCAGGATCTGACTCTGAACCTTTTATGATTAATTCCCCTTTGAAGCTCCTGCAGCTTGATAGGTTTATTTGTGTGCCTCTAGTTAAAGTGATTGCTCTGGATCCTGTCTCCCTGCCTTAATGGGTTAATCCTGTCCCAGGACCTTTGTCTTTCCAACCCTGGGGGCTAATTTTGTCAGGGGTAGGAAAAAGGGAGTTCTGGATTTGCCTTGGTGCATTATTTTTAGCCTGATTCTCCTCATCTTAATGGCTCTACTTAAGTGTTTCTATTGTCAGCTGTGTTAGCAGAGCTGCTCAGAGTTTTTTCTTTCAGCTGGTGATTCTTGGTTTTCTTAAAGGGGGAAAGGCTGGGTTTCTTGGCACTGTCCTTTTGGGATGTACTTCCCACAGAGAGACTGGACAGTCACTTGTCTGAAATGGCATAGAGTTTCCTGCTTGAACGGGGTGGTGGTGGGTGGACTAGAAGACCTCCAAGGTCCCCTCCAGCTCTTTTCTGATCGATTGATCTGCCCTGGCTACTTGACATCTTCATTAAAAAAGGAAGATGCCAGGTAACCAACATGACTATAACTTATCTGCATGTCTCAAGTTCATCCTTAGCCATTCAGTGACATCTCAAACTGCAAACTTAGCAGCATATAGAACATTTAAACCATTTGAGTTCATGAGGTCACCACTTCCTCCCCAATGGACTCCAAGATGGAAGACTAGTAGTGGTTTGATTCTTGTATCAAGAGGTCAAGAGTAGAAAGGCATGAGCAGATAGATTTCCTGACTCCTATTATCTGGCAAACTCCCTGGAGCACGTTTAGGAATAGCATTTGAACATGCCCCTGTCCCAATCTCTATCACCATGTCTCTTTCTTGAGTTGTGGGTTTGTTTTGGGGTGCCAGTCCCACTCTGATTGGTGGCATGTGGCTTTTTGCGTAAAATGCTTTCAGAATGATATATGGAATCTGGCAGCATCTAGGCTGTATTAACCACAATCTTTCAGCAAAGAGGCAAACATTTGTCATGACACAGAAGATAACATTCATAAACAATCTGTTTTGAAGAAGCATCAAAGAATAACTTATGGAAATATGGGAACTGCCACCTCGTGGACCTGTTGAAACCTGCATGCAAATTGTTAAGCAGCTTCCATTCTAGGATCTGATTTCTCTCCTCATTGTAATTGCATCTGCGAGATCATTGAATAAAAGTTCCAGAAAAACCTATTTATTATTATTATTTTGCAGCCACATCCTGGGGCTTATGTTTCTCTACTTTCCACACACTAAGCCCTGGTTCATTGTCTTGTATTGAATTCTCCTTGTCCAATGTATATTTTCCTGCAAAGGAATGGCTCCTCCAATAGACAGGGTCAGCTTTAAATGCCTTATTCGTTGAAATCTCCTTGGAAACAGTGTGGTTCAGAGCTTTATTGTTCCCAGTTTGTGTGGCTACGACACAGTTTATAAATGGAGCTTATTGGAGAAGTGGAAAGAAAGATGGTTGAAGCCAACATAAATTGTTATGGGTGGGTGAGGGCTCTCAAGATTCCCATTCCTGCCTCCCTCATTTAATTGTTGCAAGGTTCATTGCATGTTTCAAGGACATGCTCCGTGGTTCAATGCATCTGGAGTCAGGCCTTGGATCCCATCTTCTAACTTTGAGTCAGAACCTGGACTAAGGTTTTTGGGGATGGACAGCTGATGCAGTTGTATTCATACACATCCCTGTTGTGTCACAAGGCAGGATATGCAAAAAAAAAACACTCAAGTAAGTTATCAGAGAATATGGCTTTTCTGTTCTGCAACATATAGGAGCTTCTGTGGCACAGTGGTTAGTACTGCAAGCTACTTCTGCAAGCTACTTCCTAGGCTGGGATAGAATCGAGATCATGTGAAGTGTTTATACCAGTTCATAATGCCTTGGTAAGGGCACACTTGGGATAAGGAATCCAGTTTCGGTCACCATGATATAAAAAAGGGTATCAGGACTCTAGAAAGAGTGGAGAGAAGAGCAACAAAGATGATTAGGGGACTGGAGGACAAAACACATGAAGAATGTGGTTGCAGGAACTGGGTATATCTACTTTAATTGAAAGAAGGTCAAGGGGTCACATGACAGCAGTGTTCCAATATTTGAGGGGCTGCCTGCCACAAGAAGAAGGGGGTCAACTTATTCTCCAAAGCACCTGAAGGCAGGACAAGAAGTGATGGATGGATGGATGGATGAAAACTAATCAAGAAACAACCTAGAACTATAGGAATTTAGCACCCACCCCTCTCTTAGAAAATTGAAATATCCTAGGAAATATTAAAAAGGCAGAACATTTCCCCTAAAAAGAGGAGAAACTCAGAAGCAGAAACTAACCTCAGAAGCTGAAGCTCACCCCCACCCTTGTTAATGGGTGGGCCATTAAGGCCTGGCCCAGAATACTTTACATAACAAAGATCTCCAGGTAAAGCTACAGCAATTGCCCAAAGCCCTTTCAGTGCATCATCATCCAGCAAGGCTCAACCAAGCTTGGGACTCAGGACAGCCTACAGAGTTGTCCCTGCATGGCCCCATGGGAGTCTGACAACCAATCACAATACAAGCTCCAATTCAAATCCCAACAAAGGTTATAAAACCCAGGCACTCTCAGCATATCAGCCCTTCCTGATCTTCTCTTTTCACCTTGGAGCATGTGATCATCCTTTTCACTTTGGAGCTCCAAGCCATGTGGTCCTGTCCACCATTAAACCATCTTCCCAAACAGCCTCCATGTTTCCAGTATCTTTTTCCCCACTGGGAACTGAACCCAGAAGGATAATTCTTCCAACAGAACTAAGGAGATATTTCCTAACAGTTAGAACGATTTATCAGTGGAATGGCTTGCCTTCAGAAGTTGTGGGTGCTCCAACACTGGAGTTTTTAAATAAGAGATTGGACAAACATTTGTCTGGGATGATACAAGATTTCCTGCTTGAGCATGGGATTAGACTAGAAGAGCTCCAAGGTCCCTTCCAACTCTGTTATTCTCTTACTCTGTTAAGCCTGCCTTTAGTTCAGGGGAAGGAGAGAGACTTACACCACAGGCCGTATCTGCATTCTCACTGTTTGTGATCTGTAGCCATTATTCTGTGAAACCTGGCACATCTCTTGCTTTTGTTAGACACTTATTTTGAATCTGTTCCCGGGAAGCCTCTGTAAAAGGGAGGAAAACAGACTCTCCGGGGTCTTAGCTCATCCCTTCCATCCCTGGGCTGGACATGGGAAGGCCACTGATAGAAAAAACACAGCACATAAAAGCTCGCAAGAGAGAAGGCGTCCAATGAATGAAGTTGCATTGTTCTTTGTTCATGTCTCTTTGTGGGGAAGCGGCAACCTCCAGTGTGCAGCTGGATGGGGACAGCAGCTATTCTTACTTGGAGAAGGTAGTTTCAGTTCAGCTTTCCACTTCTCACTAAGCAGCCCATCCTAATTTGGATAATCTGGAACAAAAATAAATACTTTTTCTATTTTGAAGTACCAGACAGATGGCCGATGCAAGAAAGTGAAGAAGCCTAAGACGGTGGAAGGAAAGACACCGAGAAAAGAGTAAAGGTAAGAACTTGATGTTCTAAGGCAGGGAAATTTCACAATGTAAGAGGTTTGACTGAATATTAGGAGAATTGTTGGACAAAAGCAGAGGAAAAGAAGGGGGGCACAGGAAGGAGGGACGGTAAAGAGAAAAATTTCACATGCATGCTTTAATTCAAGGAGATCTTTGCTGACCCAGAATTCCTCTTATGATTGAATGGGTTAAAGGTAAGAAAGTTGGGTTGGCAAAGATTGTTCACAAACCAACCAAAAAGCCCAGCTATGTTCTTGGACTGTCTCCTAAATCCTGCTCCAAGTTTTAATTTTGCAAAGGAGCTGCTTTTCTCCTTTCTATCACTTTCTCTCTTTAGTGGGAAACAAGTCTAGACTACTTGCAATCCTTTTGTATTTTCATTTACTTTGCCCTAAAAAAAGTGGAGAAGGAAAGGAGGAGGAGAGAAAAGGAAATTCATTAAAATTGAAAAGCTGCAACATCTACATTTTAGGTCCTTTCATGTAAACAGCTCCTAGCCTTGTGCAGCCTCAAAGCCTTGTGCATTTTCATTTTATTTACTGTTATTCTACAAGTGGAAGATGTAAAATTCAGCAAAATTGGCAGCCGATTGCCAATTTTGAGTCCAAAATTTCAGTTGCTAAGCAACTGTTAAGTGAGTTTTGCCCTGTTTTATAACTTTTCTTGTTAAGTGAATCATTGCAGTTGTGGCAAATGGGGAAAAATTCACTCAACAACTGTCTTGCTTAGCAATGGAAATTTTGGGCTCAATCATGGTCATAAGTTGATGACTACCTGTATGAACCCATTAGAATATTACTACTAATCTTCCTGTATCACCTGCTTCCTCTAGTACATTTTTCATGATTTGGTCTCTAGTCATAAATTAATAGTTTACCTTCGCTAATTTCAGGCAGTTTTAATGCATCAGAGGAATAAACCTTTGCTAAGATTTCAGTATTTTTATTTACACATTTTATCATTCACTTTCCCTCAGATAACTTCTTGTCATATTAATTAGACTGCGTTTGTCAGAAAGTACCCAACAAACACAGAGAGGTGCATGTCCTGAAAAAAGTGGTGTTTAGGGAAGTACAAACAATTTAGGTTATTTACTTTTTGTGTAGAGAAGGACTGTGGGGTTTTTTCTTTATTTCATGTACAGCGGTAGCTCAGGGGATGGTGCAATGATTGGATAATGTTCTTCCCATTCTACTTTTGGTCAGTTGAAGGAATTCAGTTGATTTTGATTGACTAAATCCTTTCTTTCTTTCTTTCTTTCTTTCTTTCTTTCTTTCTTTCTTTCTTTCTTTCTTTCCTTCCTTCCTTCCTTCCTTCCTTCCTTCCTTCCTTCCTTCCTTCCTTCCTTCCTTCCTTCCTTCCTTCCTTCCTTCCTTCCTCTTCCATCCATCCATCCATCCATCCATCCATCCATCCATCCATCCTGCAGTTCGGTTTCTCAATATGAAGAACTTTGCTGGGATCCAGCAAGGGGAATTTTCTCCAAATGTTTGGAAAAATCCCACTTGTCGGGATTTGTGCCTCCGTTACTTGAGCAGCAGAAATCCTGAAAGAGAACCAGCAGCTGCTAAAGAACAAGCAGGGCTTCAATGAACCTTGCCGATTCTCCTCTTCTCTTGTTTTGCTTCATTTAGTTTCCCCCCCCCCTTCTTTAACCTTGATCCCGATTTGTAACTTAGTAAGTTGCAAACTCATCCCATTCTTCATCTTCCGTGAAAGAAGGTTCCACGGGACGCCAAATGCTAATAATCATTTCACTCTCTGGTCATTTTCACTCATAAACAGTGCTTCCACCTCCCAATCTCATGTGATCCGTTTGAAATCAACTCATAAAAATTCATTTTATAGTGACCTATCTCTTTTGTGCACTGTCATGCTTGCATACTTGGAATCTATTTAGGAGGGAGGGAGGGAGAGAGGAGAAGGAAGGAAGGAAGGAAGGAAGGAAGGAAGGAAGGAAGGAAGGAAAGACTTAGCCAATGCACAGTGAAAATGATTTCCATCAACTGACCAAAAGTAGAGTGGGAAGAACGGAAGGAAGGAGTGGATGGATGGAAGGGAGGGAGGAAGGAAGGAAAGAAGAAAAGAAGGAAGTAGAAGGAAGGGAGGGAGGGAAGAAGGAAGGAAGGAGAGAAGGAAGGAGTAGAAGGAAGGGGGAAAGGGAGGGAGGGAAAATGGAAAGAAGGGATAGGGAGGGAGGGAGAGAAGGAGGGAGGGACAATGGAAAGGAGAGAAGGAAGGAAGGAGGGAGGGAGGAAGGATGGAGGGAAAGAAGGAAGGAAGGGAGAAATGGCCTCCTGAATTAGATTTATTTCTCTCTTATCCCTTCTCTTGTCTCCATAGATGGCGGCTTTGGTTACCGGTCTGGCCCGACTGTTTCAGCCAACTATGATGCTCCCTGGAGGAAAATCTGATGGTCTTGGCCTGGCCCCATGGTACCTCCTCTTGGGCCTACGCCTGGTGGCTCTCCTCCTAGCCAATGACCCCTGGTCTTCTGCAAAGGCAGACCTGGTCTGTAACTGGACGAAGACAACAATGGAGGAACACCTTCAGCCTTTTTGTCAAGCTCTCTGCTTCAACCAACACTTCTCTTCTCCCATCTCTTCAGTATGGGGGCTTGGTTTTTTGCTTGGCCTATTCCCCGTGGGGTTTATGGGGCTCATAAGTGTTGTATCCAAGCACCAGAAAAAAGCTACGAGGGCAGCAGAGGAAAAGCAAGCAAACCCTGATGATGTCAATTATGCTATGGCGGCTACAGAATTGCATCCCTCTCTCAAAGAAGCCACCTCAGAAAGAAATGTAGCTGCATCCGATGCCAAGATTTCTACTCTGTCTACCTGGTACTTAGCAGCATCTGCTTTTCTGGTGATTTTTGTCCTGGTAATGGAGTTGATATTCCTCTGGGTTGTAATTGCTCTGCAGATTCCGTTGGTGTCTGAAACGACCTTCCGGTGTCTTCTGGAGAGACAGGCCTGTCCCCCAATTCTTGAATGTGTCATATTGGGCCAAGTGGACAAGCAAGTAGCCTTGTGGGGGTTGATCTTCACAGCCATCGTCAATGTGGTTGTTTGCCTGTCCTGCCTCCTCTTACGACTTGTGAAGATATTCCGGTGCCACCGGTGATATGTGTGAACAGTGACAAATAATAATAATAATAATCCTTCTACTAGCTGCCCCCAAAACTTGCCTTTTCAAGTTCTGTATTTTCAAGAATAGTATTCCTTGTTCTTTCTTTGCCATCTTCCATCTTCTTTCATGAGTTATTTTATATCTATATCTATATCTATATCTATATCTATATCTATATCTATATCTATATCTATCTATCTATCTATCTATCTATCTATCTATCTATCTATCTATCTATCTATCTATCTATCTATCTATCTATCCGAACAAAGCTGAATACCATACATGTAAGTACCCATCCTATATATATATATAAATACATATGAATGGCTAAATTTTTACTAAAAGTGTTAAATTTTGGAACATGTTCTGGACAAATAAATCTAATAAGAAAGGAAAAGATGTGAAAGTTCTGAAATGTGTATGTGTTCTGACCAAGGCTTCTTGAGATACTAACAAACACGTTAGTCCCAAAACCCTTTTTCTTTATTTCAATGGCTGTGAATTTTATTCATTCACAGCCCATAATGAGTCTCAAACAGTTTGTAAAGAGTCCCAGGGAAGTCCTTCGGGATAAGGCTGATAAGCACGCACCTTTATCTTTCTTGAAATGCTGCCAACGACTAAACTTCCAATTAGTTATACAAGGCCAAACAGAGCACAAATTCAACATAGTGCTTCAGGTTTTAAACCGACCAGTACAAACAAAGTTGCTTCCTGCAAAGGCTCATGTCCTTTTGCTCTTCCTTTATGTCTTATGGGAGGGGCCAATCACCTCCAAGCCTTACTCCCAAGTCACCTCTTTTGTCTTAACTGTTCTTGCCTTCTGGCAGCTATGTGCACGTGTACAGTGGGAAAAGCCCCCCCCCCTTGTTTTTCTGCCTCGTTGCTGTCAGATTTTGGAGGCTCCGGAGTCAGCACATAACTCCCAGTTGGCCCCGGCCCCATCTCTGTGTCGGATGCAGGACCCTCGTCTGAGTCCTCCCCAGACTCCCGGACTGGCCAATGTTCCTCCCCACTGTCGACTCTGCTGCCATCTCCGCAGGCTACCATCAGACCACAACAGTATGTTTATAAAAAGTGATATTCCTTAGGTTGAGAGAGCCAGTATGGGATAGAAGATAAGATGTTGGACTGACATCGAGGAAACCAGGTTTAAATCATTCCTTTGTAACAGAAACCTCTCTCACTCGCTCTCCCTCTCTCCCTCTCCTTTACTTCTCCCTGTTGTTGTGAGGTGGTCCATGACTTATGACTATAACTGAGCCCACAATGATTTTTGAATTATTTTTAAACTATTCACTCCCTTATCTGTAACAAGAAAGGGGAAGTTAGTTAGTACAGTCCAGCTATTTTTTTTTTTTTTTTACAACCAGAGGAAAGGCCAGCCCTGTCTTTACCACTGTCCCTGGTCAGGATGACAGTATGTGTTAGAATCATAGATTCATAGGGCTAGAAGGTCCTCGGAAGTCTTCTAGTCAGGGGTGGGCTTCAAAAATTTTAGCAAAGGGTTCTCTGCCCGGTTGCTGGGTGGGTGTGGCCATGGTGGGCGTGGCCTAGTTAGTCTCCTGCACCACGGCGAGAGAGTATTTTTGCGCTCTCTGGGCTCTGGAGGCTTTCCTAGAGTCTCCAGGAGGGTGAAAACGGCCTCCCCAGGCTCCGGAGGTTCTCTGGAAGCTGGAAACAGGCCCATTTTCAGCCTTTCTGAACTTCCGGGAGGCCTGTTTTTCACCCTCCCTGAGCATCCATGCGCACCCTGCATTCACCCTCCCGAGCATCCTAGTCGAACGGTTATCCAGTCTATTCTTGGAAACTTCCATTGATCGAACACTCATAACTCTGGGAGGCAAGCTGTTCTATTAATTAGTTGCTCTCACTGCCAGAAAATTTCTCCTTATTTCTAGGTTGGATCTTTCTTTGACAAACTTTCAGACATTACTTCTTGTCCTCTGCTGCCCTACAGAATAGATGGATCTACTATTCTTTGTGACAGTCACTCAAGTACTGGAAGGCAGCTATCACATACCCTCTAATCCTTCCTTTCGGTAGGCTAGACATGCCTGGGTTCGTCATATCATTTATTAGTCTCCATACCCTTTATCATCTTTTTTTCTGCTCTTCTCTGCACACTTTCTAGGATCTTGGCATCTTTTTTTTCTGCATGGTGGTGAAATGAGGCTCATTACAAACCGGGATAACAAAAAGAATGCAGAAGACAGGTAACTGCTTGAAGCAGAGGTAAATTTTTATTTGGAAAACGCAGTTCAGGTAGTCCTCGAATTACGACCACAATCGAGCCCCAAATTTGGGTTGATAAATGAAACTTTAATTAAGTGAAATTTGCCCTGTTTAAGTGAAATCTTGCCACAGTTGTTAAGTGATTCACTGCAGTTTAGTCACACAGTCGTTAATTGAATCTGGCTTCTTCATTGACTTTGCTCGTCAGAAGGTGGCAAAAGGGGACACTGTGACCGTCGCAAATATGAACCAGTTGCCAAGAATTTTGATCATGTGACCATAGGGATGCTGCAAAGGTTGTAAGTGTGAAAAGCGGTCATAAGTCACTGTTTTCAGTGCTGTTGCAACTTCAAACGGTCACTAAATGAATTGTAAATCAAAGACTGCCTGTACAAGCAAAGTTTCAGCGTTTCAGATAGACCTAGTAATCTCTTTGGGGAAAGGACGTTTTATTTACTAATGGACGGAATGAGTGATATCCTGAAAGGAATTTTTATCCTTTCTTAGACTGGCATCTTTTGCTAATTTGAATCTTTGTCACCCAGTCTCTTGCATCTCCTCACTTTTTCTTCCTAACGTCATTTCCAACCTTTTGCCCTGGAAATTATGAGATCTGGATGACATGGAACAGAAAGAAGATTGATTGGCAAGGAAGGTTGATTTCTTTTCCACATCCCTAAGTGGGCCAGCCATACTTTCTCAGTCCAGACTATCTCATATCACATTATGGGCCAAAAATAGAGACAGAATGGGATCAAATAACAGGTGTCGAAAAAGCCTTTCAGATAGTAAATGAAAATTCAAACACTTCAGTCATTACATATAGTTCTCGATTTACAGCCACAATTTAGCCCCAAATTTCTGTTGCTAAATGAGATATTTGTTAAGTGAACTTTGCCCCATTTTGCAATCTTTCTTAAAAGTAGGGACAGCCTAGAGTCCAGGCAGTCGGGTGGGCCAAACACTGAACTGGTTCGGTGTCAGCTGCTCTTTGCAGCTACTGGTTCTATAGAACCGGGCCAAACAGGTAGCATCCCACCCCTGGGCTCAAGGCTGACTCAGCTTCTGAGGTAGGTAAAAGGAGGACCCAGATTGTTGGGGGGGAATATGCTGACTCTGTAAACCGCTTAGGGCTGTAAAGCACTGTGAAGTCTAAGTGCTATTGCAAATGCTATTTGTGACCTCCCCAGGTGACTTCTGATAAGCAAAGTAAATGGCGAAAGTCAAATTTGCTTAATGATCACTGCATTAACAAAATGCAGTGATTTGTTTAACAACTGTGGCCAAAAAAGTCATAAAATCAGGAGGACTACCTGTACTAAAAAAATAAATTTGAGTTACTGGAAGAAAGAAAAAGTATAAATCTAGCAAATAGCAATAGCAATAGCATTTAGACTTATATACTGCTTCACAGTGCTTTATTACAGCCCTCCCAAAGAGGTTTAGCATATTGTCCCCAACAATTTGGGTCCTGGAAGGATGAGTCAGCCTTGAGCCATTCAGGATTGAACTGCTGGCAGTTGGCAGAGTTAGCCTGAAATACTGCATTCTGACCACTGTGCCACATAGCTCATTCATAATAAACCAATACATTAAAAATTATAAACAGTTGAGAAAGAGTACCAGCAGGAATTCCTAGATTTTGTAAGGGCATGAATATCTCAACAAGACTTTACATTTAATTTATTTTCATTGTGGATACACACCTAAGTATTGCAGGAAATGAGGACATGCAGGGAAATGTCTTCAGGAAGAAAATAAATCTCTGTATGATTCAGATTTGTGTATCATACAAAGGTTCATTTTCTTTCCAAAGTTGTTTCCTTATGCGTCCTGTTTTGTGTCATGATAGAAGAATTGGCAAGGTGTGTACATGAATCCACATCTTGAGTTACACAGGGAAGAGGATTAACACTGAAAATAGTCACTAAGGCAAAGGCTGACAGGTAGAAACTTTTAAAGCCCTAGTCCTATAAAACCTTAATCTGTGTTTCCACTCAGATTAGCAATGGAATAGCAATGGCTGTTCTAATTATTTTTTACATTTAATATGCCTCATGTTTAACCCACTTCTCAAAAGAATGACTATTGCGCTACAATATAATAATCCCAATTTTAAATCCTATTAGGATTTCATTCTTCAATTAAAAAATAATTAGAACAGCAGAAGGTTTATTGCATTTCATGTCTCAGCCTGAAGACTGGTAGATTGCATTACTGAAGCCAACAGGGGAAATAACACCTCACTTGTATTCCTAGGATCCAAAATGCAAGTTATTTGCAAAAGAAAGAGAGGTGGGGCCTCATGAAAAACAGTATTGAAAAAAAAAAACTCCAATCAAGGGCTATCACCCTAGTAGGATGGAAATGTCAGTCATGATGGACAAAGAAATATTTCTCTTTCTTGGACTTGGGGATGAAAATAAACGAGGGCAAAGTTTAATTCAGTTTTACAAATCTCTGCACATAGAGATCTTACTGCTTTTAAAACTCCTCTTAAAAACCCTTGTCCAATAAAATCGATGGTTTCTTTGTACCATCTTTTTTGACTTGAGCAATGCTATGGGGTGATATTTCCCCCCCTGTCAGAATAGCTTATTTTGCATTTTTCAGAATCAAAATCAGAATAGAGCTGGAAGGGACCTTGGAGGTCTTCTAGTCCAACCTCACCCCCCCACACACTGCTCAAACAGGAGGTACCTAGTGGCTGCCCAGCTTCTTCTTAAAACCCTCCAGTGATGAAGCAACCCACAACTTCTGAAGGCAAGCTGTTCCACCAGTTAATTGTTCTCACTGTTAGAAAGTTTCTCCTTAATTCCAGATAGCTTCTTTCCTTGATTAGTTTCCATCCATTG